GAATACTTTGTCTGGTGTTCACAGATCCTAGCGAAAGCTTTTCTAGACTAGTAGTAGTAATAATAATTTGTATAATCGTAGGTCATCATTGTCAAGCACTTGACGGATTGGTTCACTGGGAGCCTGACGAGTGTTCTCTGGGCCAACGCGACAACGGAGGGAAATCTCACGCTGAGGACCTCGCTAAGGTGGTAGGGCTGGTCACCAACATGACAACGGAGGGTTTATTCACGCTGAGGACCTCGTTGAGGTGGTAGGGTTGAGCACCAACATGACAACGGAGGGTTTATTCACGCTGAGGACCTCGTTGAGGTGGTAGGGTTGAGCACCAACACGACAACGGAGGGTTTATTCACGCTGAGGACCTCGTTGAGGTGGTAGGGTTGAGCACCAACACGACAACGGAGGGTTAATTCACGCTGAGGACCTCGTTGAGGTGGTAGGGTTGAGCACCAACACGACAACGGAGGGTTTATTCACGCTGAGGACCTCGCTGAGGTGGTAGGGTTGCAAAAGTTGCGGGAGGGTTGCGGCTATGAGTGGCCACGGTCAATGCCAACAACCCTCAACCCTAGGACCTCAGTGAGGTGGTAGGGTTGAGAGTGGGTCCAGGTCACATGGCACCTTTTTCATTTATTGTGCTTTATGGTGGCTTGCCATGGGATGGCCCCCCGTAAACCCTCCTCAACCCTAGATCCTCAGTGAGGTCGTCGGGTTGAGCATGTTGGGACAGCCCCACACCCAAGCCGAGGGCATCTGACTCTACAACCCACCGCTTAGTCCCTTAATGTCCATGCCGCACCCCAATTATTTTGGATTTTGGTGCCCCGAAAAACTCACGTCCGCATCCCGGCCTCCTGTTCTTGCAAAACCCAACAAATGATCCCAACACTCTCGGCAAGCATGCGGTTTTGTAGGGGAAAAACAAGGTTTCCGCAATTCTGCCAACAACACACTTGCAAGAATGCAACCGAGAAGGTGTCCTATTGCTGATCACAGGAGCATAACCGGGCATAAAAGATGATGAACTCATAACTTTCGTCATCTCAGGCCTCACGGAACCTTGTGAGGGCCATGCTCCTGCTGTACCCAACCACCTCTGACATGCTCACGGCGGGTCCTCGCCAGAAGCTTTCATCAGCCATGCACCAGGATAGGACGCAGGTGTTGAAGAAGTTCCCCGCAGTCGGGGGCCATTCCTGTCAAGACGGGCTAGACAGTATTGCTGGAACAAAGTGACTCCCAACCCCTGAGAACCCTTCCCCATTGGGAGTGTACGTTCGGGCCTTGGAAGGGTCACCAGGCACGGGGCACCGGAAATACCCCAGCCCAACCCTTAGAACCCAAACCCTGCCTACTAAGGAAACTCCACCATCAGTACGCCTGTCCCAAAACCTCAACCATCAACTACAGAAGCCCTGAACCCCAAAGCCTACCCCAAACCCCTAACTCCAAACCTAAACGTACCCTTCCTGTTTAGTTTGACCTCAAAGGCCCAAGTAGTCTGACGCACAGAGCCCCAAAGCAAAATGCAGACAAGTATCTGGAATCGTACAGAAGTGGGTCTTGAAGTCCTCAACACTATCCGTGTCCAACAAACCTGCCGCATGTGTCATTCGTGCACTCAAAGCCAAAAGGTGATCCGGGTCGGACCATGCTCTTTGAGCAATATCTTTGAGAGTCCCGCCCTCACACAAAGGCCAGGCAAATTGCCCGGGCTGGGGTCCGAAGCCCAAAGGTTCCGTCGGTTCACACGGAAGCTGCTTCTCAACATGATGGCGCAAACCATGTGTAGCATCGATCCATGCATCCAGCTTCAGCTGGAAATCATTCACATCCTTGATGTCACTAGCTGCTCGGGTTGTAGCCTCACCGGCGGCTACGGCCTGTGATCGTTGACCCGAGGTTCGCTGCTTCTTTCTTGGAGGCATCTGCAAACTTGCGACAAGCACCACGGGGCGCTCGATGAAGAAATGCTCTGACTCGTAGAAGCATTACAAGCGCTACATGACATGAGCTCGAACAAGCAGTGAACCTAATTATCATTTGCAACTGCTCGGTGATTTTCAGGGCTCGCTCTCATCTGATGATGATTCAGATTCAGCAAGTCAGACTGGAGCCGCTCCCCGGGGCCCAGCTTTGAATTTGTCTCAGACAACTAGCAGCTAGCAAAGTCCTTGGCTCAATGTCTCTGCGGCAGCCACACTGTCAGCGTGGACGCCAGCACACTGAAACAGACGGTGGCGGCAAACCTGCAGACAGCCAATCATGAACCAGCGGGGTTTCTAGGGGGGTCATGCCTTAGAGTCTATATTTGACACACCCACACACCACACACACACACACACCCACACGCGCGCACGCACCCGCACACGCACATGCACACGCGCACGCGCACGCACACGCACACGGCCCACCAACCGACCAAACAAAAACACACACTCTCTGTCTGTCTCTCTCTCTGACTCTCTCTACTCTCTCTCTCTCTCTCTCTCTCTTACTCTCACTCTCTCTCTCTCTCTCTCTCACACTCTCTCAGCAAACGCTTACCCCCAATCACTTTGGAGACTATCTCTTCCGCCAGCCATGAGCCCTGTGGCTGAGCAGCCCACGCATTGCCGGCAAGATCTGACTGTTTCCAGTCCGAAAGCTCGGTGAAGCTGTAGGTCTCCATCTCAGAAGGAGATATCCCCTGCAACGCCATTTTCTCCTTCCGCGACTCTCTCTCTCTTTTCCACACGACAGGGACGACTTAAGGTGTAGGGTTCAACATTAAGGGCCCGGGGTCCTGGCCAGACAAGACGGTCCATCGTCCTGTCACTATGTACTTGCCCTTTGGGAGAAGGCACGGCACCACCGTGGGATTGGCTCGACAAAAGATCTGGCGATTGAAAGCTTGATCCTTGGCTCAGATGATCTCAGATGCAACAAACGTGCTGGCCTCCACATGCTGACACAATAGAAACATGCAAGCATATGCAGCTGAAACTCCACTTGCACTAGCAACGTCTCTGCAAATGGGTCTCGACCCAGCTTCTCAAGCTTGAACACACCATAACACAAAACCATCATCTCCCTCTCGGTGACGGCCAAGCCTTTGTCGCGAAGCTTCAGCTCGGTGCGGACCATGTGGGCCTGCCCAAAACAAACTCTAAACCCTACCTAGGTAACCCACAATCTTTCGGGAACTGAGAGGGGCATCGCGAGAGGGGTGGCAACAGAGGGGGTGGGGGCTGGGGCCCTTCAACTTGGAGCGAAAACCCTACGCGCAAAGCATCCCCAAGCCCCAAAAACCACAACCTCACAAGAATGCACTCGCAGCCTTGGTTTCATCGTCGAAGGCTTTGTAGGTCTTCTTCCACTTCGCATCGCCTTTTGCCTGGGCCTGCCCTTTCGTGACTTCACAAGTCTTTGTGGAGGGTGGCTGCAGAAACTTATTCATACATCCAGACACGGCCGGGGAGCGAAGTCGGTCCATGACCCCCAATGGTCCATCCTGGCTCCTGTGCACAGCGACAAGCAACATCCAACGAACAAGGGCTGCATCGGACAACAGCGAACATCAAAGAAACTCGGGCCGTCCTCACTAAGTTCTCACGGATGTAAACTGCCCAAGTCCGCCTGCGGCTTTGGGGCAAGCCGTAGGACTGGGCATCCAACACCCAACTCCATCCAAGGAAACCTCGTTTTGCAAAAGCATCGGTTTGGATTTTGATGGGCACTTCATCCTTGAACTTCTTCCGTTGGTTTGACATCTCTGCCACATTCTCTGTGATGATCCACTGCAAGGTGCTCAGGTGGCGATCTACATACTTCAGAAGTGCACAAAATCCAGCTCCCGTGCTGGAGCTCTTGTCCGTAAATGACTTGGCCTCATTGTTCTGCAAGGAGAGGGACTTGCATGGGTATCCTGCGAGGATGCCATCCACCTTAGGCCGGGTCCACACAATCAGAGCAGCAGCTAAAAGGTGAGCCGGGCACCAGCAGATAAGCAGCCTAGTTGCGCTCTCCACGTCCGCAGATGCTTGGGTGATATAGTCGTAGGCACGACCACAGGCCAAATCCTTCATATCGGAGAAGATGTGCTTCACATGTGGAAACGAACGATGAAGCTGCTCAGCTTTCCATCGTGTCTGCTCGCACATCCACACCACCCGCAGCTGCAGGGGGCAGAGAGCGATTAACCGAAACCCTAAGGTAAATCCTAGACTCTATAACCCTCGACCCTTGAATTAAACCCGAATCCCTACAGCTAGACTGAGAGCATAATCCTAAAACCCAGACCACGATGAAGTAGACTCAACAACTCCAACCAGGCCTTGGCCGGGCTAGAACCTGGGGTTTCAGCAGCTTGCTCGATCATCGCCACAGCATTGTTAAGCGCATCAATGGCCGTTTCACCCACACCCCATCCGGAACACAAGGAGCCCACCTTGACCTCTTCACCGTTGCACGCTGCCTGGGTGAGGCTGTCTTTGATCATCTTGGCAAGCTCGCGGTTTCTGGCCAATTGATCCATTGCCCAAAAACCGACCTTGCCCGCTCTGAAAAACGGAATCTCGCAACTACTATGGTTAGGGTACTACACTACGCAGAATGCTACGGCGAGAGACGCCACCGGAGGCATCGGACCCAGGAGCTGCACTTTGACCATCCTCATCGTCTGTGGCTGGCAACACCGAAGGGGACTTAATGTCACCATCGGTATCCTCGCGGTCTGAACGAGCATGCAGCTGCATCCTGACCAGCATGCTCAAGATGCGGGGATTGGCTGGCACGAACAAAAATGCGGGGCAAGCCTTTCATCGTCACTGGCAGCAAGGATCTCGTCGTCCGCTTCGTCGTTGGTCCTGCAAAACATGTCTTTTTCCATCAAGGTTTGGAGAGGGGTCTGCATGGGCCGCAATCATAATCAATGGACAGAAGTTGATGGCAAGGTCTTTTCCACAGATTTGCAAGCAGGTGCAGCCAACACTTCACGAGGCTCAATTCCCAGCATTCTAAGTCTGGGCATCGAAATCCACTTCTGCATCATCGTGGTCCGACGCCTCATCGTCAGATCCACGTTCTGCGCTCGAACGCAAGTTGATCACACGGCTACGGGGAGGCTTTCGCCAAGGCATGCGAGAGCCCACTGCATTCACGCCGAAGACCCGATCGTCGGGCCTGCGGTATTCCAAGTGACTGTAAGAGACAGGCCTCGGCTGCTTTTGCCAAGTCCCTTCGCACCAGTTGGTCAAGTAGGCTTCTGCCTCGCGGCTCAAAATGCCCTGATTTACACATTTCGGTGCTAGAGCAGTGATGTTCTTACGAACCTTCGGGCTGATCGCTCGGCGATCAGCCGTACCTGTGGGCTGCTGAAAGCTGCTTCGCAGGTCTGCCGCTCGTTGAGCTGAGACAACACACGCCACATAGTACGGCGTGGCATCTGCCATAAACCGTTTTGCAAGAAGCATGATGTCTTCAGGGCTCGGTTCACATCCTGTGAGCTCATGTGGCACACACCCGCCATAAGAAGAAGGGTCCAGGTCTCCACGAAGACAGAAACGAACTTGGCCGACTTTGCCTTGGCTGCTCACTACAAAGCAGCAGCAATCGCTGAAAACAAAGCCAACACTGAGAATCTTCCAAGAAAGAAAATGCGGTTCTAAACAACTCAAGCTAGTTTCGCAGCCCCTTGAAGCGCAAACCCAGGACAGCAACCCAGTCCTGCCACAATGCCACAGAATCCAGTTTGACGCACGTCATGGTAACACTGGCAGTCTTGGCTCGTTTCCTTTCCCGTTCCCCAACATCATCTGGCCGATATGTGGAGTCTATCAACTGCACAACCTCCGAAGCGGAATCAAAGCAGTGACGGCCAATGAATGCACTCTGCTGCGAGAAGACCTGGTCCAGGTCTTCATGGCCTCAGATCATGGAGAGTTTTGCGCGAAGCCGGTGGCGACACAGGGGATTGCATATGGAGACTAGTCTCAACACTGCTGAATACCAAGTGAGCAGCTGTGGCCTGGTCGCAAGAAACTTGCGACCGTATACCGGAAGACCCGTAAGCAGACCAACAAACAAAGGTAGGCGATGACGTACTGGTTTTTACCCTCGCGATACGTGTTGTCTTGTTGCAAAGCCAGCCCAAAAGGAAGCCGCATGCCGGAATCCATCACTTCGGAAATGGTTCTCCCTAGCATTTCCAGTTGTGTTTCTGAGTTCTTTTTCAAGCATTCATCCGCCACAAAGAAGTTCAAGCATCGCCCATGCAGCCAGCAAGCTGCCACATGCAAAGTCGGCCGGAAAAGCCGGCCCAGGAGCTTTGAAGACTGGTCCCTTATCCTGGGAACTTTATATTTACTTTGATCCATACCGTCGATCATCAGTGTCATGAGTGAAGTACCGATGGAAGAGGCCATGATCCTGCAATGGAGTTTTTACTTTACAGTCCTACTGAACTAGACTAATTATGACTATCTACTGCCAGCGACATCAAACACCAAAAATGTGGACCCAAGCAGGCCTGTCACCCAGCATCAGGTGTTGCCGAAAAAAGGTTTGTGACATCGTCCTGAACTGCCAGTACAGTTGCCGATCCAGCCACTGGGATAAAAGATGTTGCATGTACGTTTTTTGTTGGTCCTCTCGAGATTTGCCCACCCCAAGCTTTGCTTTCATGGCATGCTTTAAACGAACACATGTATCACACTTTGCATGCTCGTTGACCTTCCTGAACTTCAAGTGACTCTCCCTCTGGCCCACACCAAGAACTTTCTTGGCCAACCGCATAAATGTCGTGTAGCTTGCACAAGATTCCTTGTTTGACTCGCAATATGCCCGGTACTGCCAATACATCTCTGAGCGACATCCAAATGGGAGAAAACGTCTCTCCCCAGCGAATGTTCCCGGTCCAATGTTGTGAACATCTACATCGGAGCTGAGTGTGCGCAAAGTCTTCATGAAGCTGTTCACGGCTCTCAGTTGCACGTCTGTATCGTCAGAAGCTGCAACTGCCTGAAACGAGGATCCTTTGGTAGCAGCTCGAAAGTTGTCAGGCATGTACTCTGCAGAGGTGTGGTACGTGTACCACAAGAACATCACAACTCCCATCCATTTGGCAGCTGTTTCACCACGGAGTATGAAACCAAAGGTTGGGTGCTTCGGCTGTGGGGTTCTGGTTTTGTTTGCATAGATATTCTCCCCCCTTCTCAAACGCTGCAGGGTAGTTTCGCCTACGCCCAAAAGAGATCGGAAAGCTCGACGGCAAACTGCTTTACCAGCAAAACTCGCTTCGCGCCGACGCCTTGATCGATAAGACCTCTTCACATCTTCTGCATCAGAAGCCTCCAACAACTCACCTGACTCTGAAGTTGCTGATAGCACTGATTCATCATCAGAAGCCAGCATCACATCTGCGGCGGGCTCTGCTTCCACATCAACTGTAAACGCAGCATCTGCACAATTGAAATAGTCGTTGAGATAGGTGGCCTCTGCAACAACAAGATCCCTGCATAATGGGGCCTAGTGATGCAATCTGCAACCCCAAATATCAATAAAATGCTTGAAATCTCAATCCCCAACCCTAGGTCTGAACCAATTCCCTGCATCCCGCACGCCTTCTCCACTGGCTCCAAGGCGGAAAATTCTGCACGCTTGCTCTCAACCAGTTCAGGGCAACATCGGAATTGACTCAAGCAAGTTTTTCGCAAACAGCGGCACTCCCGGGCCAGCAGTTTACGCAAGGAGCTGCTGCCAGCCGAAGATTTGCCCTTTTCGGGGCCAGTGCCCGAGCCCTGGCCTTCATCATCGGACGCATACAACATGTACGTGCGAATTTCGCAAAGTCTTCTAGATTACTAGTTATGATCATGATTGGTTTTTCATTCTACAAAACAGCGCCGGGCAGAGTCACACGTTGGATTGTGAATATGCAATATAAACGCACACGAGTTGTTTGTCACAAGCCAACAGCTGTAGAACAGCCATGCTCAACACAGACTTGTCAGCGAAGTGCAAATGATGCAGAAGCATAGCAAGCCAGGAAAGGAATTCAGTCCTGGTCGACGCTGCCGGCTTCTTCAGGTACTTGGTGATGTTGTTTGAAGATGCCGCAGGCTTTTTCATAGCTGCTGCCGGACGCTTCATGCTTTCCACCCTCACACAGACTCTACTCTCAAAGCCAACAACGCCTGCCTGTAAGATGAAGGCTGGCGACTGCTGAATGACTAAGATCATTATGATAATGACAACGATGAGATCTGATTCTCGAATTTGGTCACGTGTGGCTCACAACTCTCCTAGCTGCATGGAAGAAGTCAGGCTTCAGCCGCGGGCCACGGATCCGTGGCCATGCCGTGTTCAATCGTCGTCGGGTTTGGGGCTTGTAAGGAGTAGGGTTTAGGGTTAGGGTAAGTGCGTTTTTTTCATAAGCCTATTTCCACGACAGCTCCACAAGGAGCTATGAAACGATGATAATACGGGCTAATTAGGGCATGGGGCTTAGGAAAGTTTAGGGTAATCTTTTGCTTTGCCTGGTTTCGTGAAACATCCGATTGTTAGACATGTGTGAGACGTCCTGTAACGTCACAACCCGCCTGTACTGTACAGCAGCACACAACACATCCTCAACAACATGAACATCAACGACAACACACGGCACGGCCACCAAGCAAAGACCCAACCCGGCGACCACAAGCGAGGCAGGAACAACCAAAACACCAAGCCCCGTGAAAACACCAAGTCCAAAGACAATCCATTCCAAGCACCTGGACAAGTTCAAACGCGCTCATTTTGAAGTTTTAGGCCCGCGACAAGCCCAAAACACACGCGTTTGAACTTTTGCCAAAGCCTCCCTTGCTCCTTCAGGCCTCCAAAGCTCCCACGCACCTGGAAAAGTTCAAAAGCGCTGAATTCGGAGTTTTTGATGCGCAAAACACTTAAAAGGCACGCGTTTTGAACTTTTGCCAAAGCCTCCCTTGCTCCTTCAGGCCTCCAAAGCTCCCACGCAATTTGAAAATTGAAAAGTTCAAACGCGCTCATTTTGGAGTTTTCGGCCAACGAAAAGCTGGAAACGCATGCGTTTGAACTTTTGCCAAAGCCTCCCTTGCTCCTTCAGGCCTCCAAAGCTCCCATGCACCTGGAAAAGTTCAAACGCGCTCATTTTGGAGTTCTCGGCCCGCGAAAAGCTCGAAACGCACGCGTTTGAACTTTTGCCAAAGCCTCCCTTGCTCCTTCAGGCCTCCAAAGCTGCCACGCACTTTCCTCGAGGCCTCCAAAGCTCCCACGCACCTGGAAAAGTTCAAAAGCGCTCATTTTGGAGTTTTCGGCCCGCGAAAAACTCCAAATGCGCACGCTTGAACTCAGCCTAAGAAGCCCAAGCCTAAACCCTAAATCTTTCCAAACCCCACTGACTGTAAATCTTTCTGCACCTCACACGCAAGGGCTTAGGTCGCTTTTGGGTTGTGCAGTTTGGGTTGAGAAGAAATTCATTAGAGGTTTTTGATTATTCACCTTTAACTCAAAAGTTCACACGAGCACAGCCTTATCCCGAAAGGCACAAAGCCCTGAACCTAACTGCACGCCCTGTCAAGTTCGTCCCACCTCGCCCAAGTCTGCAGAAAGCGCAAGCTGGAAGGCAAAGAGCTTGTTCACCTGCTCCGGGCTTGGCTCAATGTGCAGCACATGGTGAAGTTTTACAGCTGAGAAAACGTGACGCTTCCTAGAGAGTTTTGTCAGGCGGACGAGTCTCTGTTCGAAGAGCGAGCAGGCTTTGCCTTCTTACTAGTCTTGTTCTCTGCATGACCTTTTTCAAGGCCTGCGGCAAAAGCAGAAGAAGAAGCACGTCGCTTCCGATCTTCATCACTTCGACATGCAAGAGCAAGATCCTGCTTCAGGACAGTGCTCCGCCCAGCATGCTCTGCGAAGATTTTGGCATCGGCATAGATTTCGCCCATGTAACCCTCGGTCGCATGCTGCAGGATTCTCAGCGGCGCCTTGTCTCTTTCTAAGGCGAAGTCCTGCGCGACCTCTTTTGCCAGTCTTGCGAAACAGGCGGTGCTACAGGTCTTCTCGTCCTGAAGCTTCTGATGCAGCCACGGTTTTTTGCGGCTGGGAGCCACGTTCTTACGCTCGAAGCTCTCCAGGTGCTCCATGAGGAAACGCTTGTGGCGCCAGTGGGATACTTCAACCACGACACTTTCGCCACAATCTTTCAAAGTGCACTCGAGGTCCGGTTCCAGTGCAGCAAGGGCAGCTTCTACTTCACCAACGGTTGCATGAACCAACAACTTGTCGACCCGCTTCAAGGAGTCTGGATTGTCGTCCATCCTCGTCTGGGCATTGTCAGCTGCCCGTTCCCACGCAGGAGGCTTCTTCTCGATCTCCGTTCTCGCATTCTGAGCCGTTTCCAGCGAGCGAGCTTCCGCTGGAGTTGAATTGTCCTGACAGAAGGCTTAAGGTTTAGATGGGCTTAGCTTCGGGATGGTTAGGGTTTACGTTGAAGGTGCTTTGTGAACCACAATCAGCTCCTCTTCTGCCAGAAGCATGCCGTCCAAGCGCTGGGCATCTCCTTGTTCCAGCTCGTCGTCCAAGAAAGGAGCCGGCACTCGGCCGTCAGCTACACAAACGTCCGGGGAAGCCAGTTTCCAGTGCCTGCCGCTGCGCTGGAACAAGCGAAGGTCTAGCTCAGTGCCATTGCATATCAAACACTCTTGCTCCCTGCACGTTGGGCGCAGAAGCTGGGGGCGGACTTATGCACAGGCAGGTGCGGCAGACTGTTCCCAGGGCCAGCTCATCATCTGGGCGGTGTCCACGAAACTTAAGCATAGTGACAAGCCGGCGATCTGCAGCGGGCAAAGAAGTCTGCTCAATCTCTGCTGCCAGCATGTGGAGGCGCTCGCAAGGCTGCCAAAGAGCCCGGATGGCCGCCCTGTGTCGAGCTTGGCGCTCTTCCACGGTTTCGCCGGCCAGCAAGTCCCTCGCAGCTTGAATGTCCGCTGCGGAGATCTCCATGGCGAGCAACGCACCGTGCTTTTGACTCGATTCAAGATCTAGGAGAGCCTTAAGGTTCTGGATTTGGGGCCTGGTGATTCACAACCGCAACCTGCCAACCTGCTGCATAGCACTGCATAGGAGCCATGACGACAGGTGTGAGAAGCGTGCAGGAGCGAGACGTGGCATGAGAGAGCTGCGAAGCGTGCTTTCGACCTGCTTCCTTCTCGAGCTCCAAAACCCTGGCCCCCGCCTTCGCTGCGTTCTGCCACACTGTTCTTTGAAGAGGTCCACGGCGAAGTGGTCGATCGCAGCGTTGAATAAGGGGTTTGGTTTGGTTTGGTTGAGAATCCAGTTATTGTTTGCTATAGGGTGAATTGAAGCGGTTTGGGGGGGTGAGTAAACCCTGCGAAATAGGGGCCGAGAATCTGCAACAGAATAGGTTAGAGTCGCCAATTTGTTTATTGCTAAATCTGGCAATTGATTTGGGATGACCTCGGGAGGGGGTTAGTGATTTTGGTCCCCTCGCTACTTCAATTATTTCAGGGTGAGCTCGGGTGACGTCGCTATAATTTAGCCAGCAGAGTAGCTGGCGGGGCACAGCACAGAGTAGGCAGAGGAGCAGCACAGAGTAGGCAGAGGAGAGCGCACAAGAGTAGGCAGAGGAGAGCGCACAAGCACATCCTGTCGTGCATGATGTTGTTCTTGTCGGTGTATTCCAAATGTTGTTCTTGTCGGTGTATTCCAAATCTTGTCGCTGAGTTTGTCTTCTTGGCAAGGATAGGGCATAGAGTTTCTGCTCGTAGTTCTTGACTGCGTAGGTTTTAACCTGTGCCCACGGCTTGATGCGTGTGAAGAACTCCTCCACCAACGGTGCCACATAGGTTGTTGCCACTTTGACCTTGTCGGGGGCCTTCATATTCTTGGATGTGTAGAGGGCGTCGATGGTGGAGTCCACGTCGATGTTGTCCTCGCAAGGCTTCTCTTGGATTTGCGGTAGAAGCACGGTCTCCGCCACGTTGCGGGCGAGGATGAGCCCTGCGAAGCGACCGTGTGATAGTCCCCGTAGTCCAAATTCATCTAGCCCTCGTCTGCAAAGGTGTGCCACGGTGACATCCCGGATGTCCATCCCAGCAACTCATGCCGTGGGCTCAACGACTTTTTTGAGCGTGGACTTGAGGACCAAGTTCGAATCGTAGTGCTCGGCATCCTCTTGGAAGTTCTTGGGTATGGGTATTCGAACAGGATTCGGAGCTGGAGCTGTTGCATCGTTGGGCGAAGAACTGCTCGGCATTGCCGGTGGCGAGGGTATACTCCATCCGCTGACTGTGCCTGCCTGGTTCCGCCACCATGACGAGCCTTGCGATCCCTGCGACCACGACTCGTTCCACGCTGAGGCCATGTTGCACTTTACGTTGTGGGGTTTACAAGGACGTCTCAGCGGCTCTAGCACAGCGACAGGGTAGGAAGCATCGCAACGTTCAGAATATGCATAGATGTACATGGCCGAATTGAAGACTGCGCTGGAAGCCGGCGTCATGTAGTTGAGGTTGCAGCTATTCCGTAGGTTGTGGCAGAGCATCACATCAGAATCCGTCCTCGAGGTGTAATCTTGGCCGCCCTCTGGTACTGCATGATGCGGGTTTGTGCAGTTGTTGGAGGCTGAGCCAGTTGGTCGAATGCAATGCAATTGAAACAATTTCTGCTCCTGCTTACACAGTAAGTTTTCCAATTCGCATCTTTGAGCACCTCAGCTTCCTGAGTCCCTGCATGCGCGGTCTCGTACGACCCCCCAAAGTGTTTCCGCAGTGACCCCCACGGCTTCCCACCTACGACAATGCCCGCCAAATTCTTCGTGGTGCTGTGCTGATATTGTACTCGTTTATCTCAGGGCCGCTGACTTCATGCCCTAGGGCGTAAAAGACATTACACCCAAACTTCTCGACACCGTGGGCATTCATGGGCAACATGTCGCGGTCCTCGAGCATGCTCCAGAGTGCGCCTACGTCGGTCGCATGGCTCCTAAATAGAATCTTCTCCGACTTCGTAGGCAATGGCGGATCTCGGGACTGTAGGAAGTAGGACCTGCGCATGGATTCGGCGTACGGTCGCCGCCTCTATCCCATGTGAGGTCGTGTTCTAGTAGTACGCCTCGAGCACCTTGAAGCGAGCAGATGCACATAGCGCCTCCACACATTGTTTCATGCAGTCCTGTGCAGGAAATTGCTGAGTCTCGAAGGAGCCCCAGTCGACCGAATACTTGCGTAGATTCCTCGAGACGGTTATCATCGATGGCATCTTTGGGGTCTCATAGAGGTTCTTGGTAGACCTGGTACACTTGGTCGGCGCCTTAGACGAAGATGCTGTCTCTGCCTGAGCCCCGGTGGCTGTGGAAGCTGCCGCTGAAGATGCTCGAGGTGCTGGAGATCTGGATGTTGCCCGAAGTGTGCGAGATCTGGATGTTGCCCGAGGAGCGCGAGATCTGGATGTTGCTCGGGGTGTGCGAGATCTGGAGGCTGCCTTCCTTGCACGCGGTCTTGATCGCAACGACTCTTTGGTGTACTGGAATCCAGTCTCCGGGGTGATCTTGTAGGAGGCGGAGTGGATGCCTAAGAGGGAATCCTTGAGTTGTTTCTCCCGTGTCCTTCTTCCCTCTTGTCAGCTGTAATCTCCGCTCGCGTCTTGCTGCGCTTCCGAATAAGTACCGGCCGCGATCCTGTGGAGGAGGAGCAGCAGGAAGGGGTGCAGGCTGCTTTGTAGCAGCGGGCCTGGGCGCGGGTGCTGCATCCGCAGCTCCCACCTGAGCTCCCTCGCTGATAATATGGCCCCGGCGACAAAGTTCTTCCTTGGTGCTGCCGGAGGTCTCTTGCCATAGACCTTTGCCACGATCGGTGTCCTTTGTGGCGTCAGTAGAGGACTGTATAGATTGACCTCCACGGGATGCACCTTTTGCAAAACTTCCACTTCTCTTGGAGAAAGAAGAAGACCTTGGGCGATCTCCGTGTAGCTGCCGAGGTTGCCATGACCTCGCGTCTTGCTCTCTGGATGGGGGGGCGAGCACAGCAAAGGCTGCGATCACATCGCCGAGCTTGGTGACATTCTTGATTTGAATGTGAGTTTCTATGGCTGCAGGCTGGTGTTCCAAGCTGATAGGCACACCAAGGTTACTGCGGGAGTGACAAGAGCGACTGCACTACTTTAAATAAAGCACACTGACTGCACTGTCCTATGCTTCAATCAGATCTGCGTCTCGGCTCACTTCAGAAATCTTGAGCTCAACAAATTTTCCCATTCAGCTGAGGCTTTCCGATCTGTTGCGTTGGAGCCTGTTCACACCTGGCCGAAAGTCACTTCGTCCCACTCGGGGCGCTGATGCTCAAGGGGTGTACTGCCTCGAGAGCAGCAGTAATGGCGCCGTGACGGAAGGCCATGCCCGTTCACACTCGAACACCCAGGCATGCCTGGTAGGCTGTTCTCAAGAGCGATTTCAAGTCAGCGGTGAGTTCAGAACTCAGCTGAGAATTCAAAAGGAAAATGTGCCGGGAGGTCTTTCAAGAGGCTCAAGTTCCCTTGCTGTCGGTGTACTACGAAAAAGCCAAGATGCACCTCAAACCTGGACCTTAAGTCGCACATTCAGAATCACCAATTCACAGAGGCGATGGCAATATGGAAACAGCGCACAGCTTGTACTGTAGATGAGGTCACAAATTGCAGGTAAACCGTGGAGCGTGCCCCACTGCTTCACAGGCATCTGATGAGCGTCTTTGTTAGTGCCGTTCTCATCAGTGCACCCGGCACCAGCTGCTGCATGTGGAAAGAATATGAGCGAACATCCCGTGGTAGCTTGGGTCCACACACACCACAGCGACACACACACACACACACACACCCGCACACGCACACACACACACACACCCACCCAAGCACCCACGCACGCACGCACGCAGGCACACACGCACGCACGCACGCACGCACGCACACACACACACACACACACACACACACACACACTTTCTTTCGCCAGGGTTATGATGTAGAGGTTTCCCTCTACATCGCGCGCGTCAGCGCCCCCGACTGTTGGGGGGTGAGTAAGTTGCAAAGTGTCGCCCTCGGCTCCGGGTGTTCCGGTGAAGTGCTGCTTCCCTCAGCAACTGCAATTCGGAAAGACAGATTACACCAACTGAAAACAGGTCAAATGAGGACCAATAATGGACAGAGAACTGAGGATTCCAGTTGTGGGAAGGGGGGGCATTTCCCCTCAGCTTGGGCGGTCGAATTACGATTGGGGCAATTATTGACGTTGACATGCCGCTGGAACCCAGATCTGAATGGACCCAAAAAACACACACACTCTCTCTCTCTCTCTCTCTCTCTCTCTCTCTCTCTCTCACACACACACACGGGCGCACACACGCACACACACTCGTGCACATGTAAGGCCAGGGCTGGAAATCGGGCATGAAGTCAGTTGAACAATCGCTCGCCAAAGCGACCTGGCCAGAATCCCACAATGCCTGTGGATCTGTGCGAATGACGAAGACCAGATGCATCGCAGACTGTTTCCGACAACCAAGCTGGCTCATGGCTCAAACGCAAAAAGGTGAAGAGGAAGAGGTGCTCTATAGCCTATAGCACAGCACAAAGTCAGAAAACACGAAACTAGCAACGGCTCAATGCTCAATGCACAACCTCACCTTTCTTGAAAGCAACAATTGAAAAACACAAGGTACCGATGCGTGCAGAGGCATTCGACGGCTGCTTCCATTGATGAGCAGGGGACTTTAGGATACTATAGGCGGGTTCTGGTCTACGATCTGCGCCTACAGCCTCACGATTCGCGCAGATGAATCGATTTTTGTGATATTCGTTTGAGTTTCCATAATCAATGATTCCCATGTGCTCCCACATGTAATGAACGTTGGAGCGCATTGCATTCCGGGACCACGCGATGCTGAAGCGAGGCTCTTGCAATCAGGCAATACAAGGCCGGCAGACACCATGAAACAAGTCGCCTCAGCAGT